AGGAATATTTAGCCACCCTAGCCACAAACAGTGTCAGGGGGTCACCTGCACATCTGCAGAGGATGCGAGATGGCTGCGTACATGCTTCCAGAGGTGGATGTCAGATGGGACATAACAAGCACATAAAAAACAATCAGTGGAGCTACGGTAACACACACCAGATGGACGCAGGCACTGACACTGGCCCTGTTCTCCACTGAGACACGAAGTGCCCACATGGGTTAACTGTCCTTGTCTCACCCCAGGAAGCCAAGGCATGGAGCCATTCTGCCATCTCTCTTCTAAACTGAGTGGAAAAAAAAACAAAACAAATCCGTCCTAAGTGGTGATAGACTAGACATGCAACAGGACAGGACCACATCACAAGCAGACTAGTTGCACCTGAGCAGCCCAATAAAGGCCAATTTGCAATCTGCTTAATAGGCTTTTAGGACAAGCTTCCCCTTAGGAGTCTGACTGTGAGGGTATATAAAAAAAAAAATGGATTATCGACACACTCTTGCACCCACAGGTCACAGATTTTCCTGTGCAGCATGTATGTTTCACAGAAGGGTACTACTGAGGAATAAAGAGAAACCAGCTCAAAAAAAGACAGAAACCAGCTCAAAGTACAGTTCCCCTGACAACGCCAATGAGACTATGAGGCTGTTTGTGCCCTGCTCTCTGGATCCTCCTCTGCTAGCTGATCTTCATCTATGTACTCAGGTCACCACAGGTCTCCCGGTGCAGCAATCCAGGATGTTGTCTGGAAGGTAACAAATGGGCGTTCGATGACATGGCTTGCTGGGCAGGTGTCATCACCTTCAACAGGAAAAAAAAAACCAAAAAAAGCCAACATAAATCAGATTTGTTTTCAGGCTCTTGTTCCATTAAAATAGTTTCTTACCCAACTAGGAAGAAGCTGGCTGAAGTGCTGAGACTAGAACTGCTATTTGTCAAGGTGGCATGGGAAAAGCAATCCCAACCGGGTGAAGGAGTGAGTGTTGTCTGTTTCTTTTTTTCTTTCAGCTGCACAAGGATTAGCTCAACCCAAACCATGGTATCTCAGGTATTGCTTAATAGGAATCTAAATCTTGCTTCCTGCAGAAGCCAGTGGACTATAATAAGCTCCAGGCCAGTATGATAAATTAAGTTCTTGTAAGGAATTCTCTTTCAGCTGTTTCTGTCAAATTTCTTGAAGATTTTGTTGCCTGTAGGCTGCAGTGGGAAATCTCATTTTATCTGCAGAGCCTAATTAAAATCTTTGATGTGTTTTGCATGAGAACTCAAACCAAAACCAGTAGTCACAGCAAATCACTTGTACTGTGCATGAATCAACTCATCTAAATGGTCTGTAAGCTACCAAAACACTTGTTTGATGAAGTCTGTAATGTCTGAAATTTCTAAATATTCATTCTATTAATGTAAGCACATTTCTTCTACTTTCTGCTTTTTTTTTCCTTTAGTACTAGGTATTATTTTTATACTGGGAGCCAATTACAAAAAGTTGTTTCTAGTGGGTTTACATGAAAATTTCCTTGTCAGCCTCCATTCCTTCCAGTTTATAATAGTAAATACTTTACAACATCTCTTCCCTCTCCCCTGCCGCACTCAATATAAAACACTGTCATGTTATTTACAGTTCATGATTCTACCACAGAAGACCATCTCCTTCAGTTTTTAAATACACATGTAGTCAGTCTTCTGAAAACCTTCCTGGCTGTGTGGTTCATAGAGCAAGAGATATCATCGCTGCACAGCCTCTCGCACACTCTCTAAATAAAACTAAAGTACCAAAGGAAGCTAATTTGGTCCAAAAACGTTGACACACAAAGCAGAGTGGCAAATGTAAACCTATCCTCCCAAACCAAGGCCAGCTTGGGTTTCCACATCACCTGATAAATACAAGTAATAAAACTGCCTGGTCAGGTAAGGTGGCACTGGTCATAGCTTCTGCCATATGTTTCTCATCTGATTTTAAAACAGACTCGATATTTTCCACTAATTTGTGTACGTCGGGGCTCACACTGCAGGAGGATGGCTCTCGGGTCCATGCTGCAGGCCGTTTAGTGTCTGTGCAAGACTTGTAGTCTGTCAAAGGCAGGTGTCTTCCCCTCAAAGCTCTTGCTCTCGAACACTTCCACAAGGTGACTGCGCAGAGTTGTGGTTTTACTTCAGTCTTCTTTGCAGTTCCACAGCTGAGTCCTGCCCCTGAAGACAAGGTCAAACAAAGTAAACAGCCCGCTTGGTTCACAGGACCACAGGTTCACACAGAGCCCCTGAGATTTCTGTCCTAATTCAGTTTAACCATGCAAAACCCAAGAATCAGGCATGGTCAGAGTGGCACACAAGGATCACTCTGGATTGGATTTATGCTTGAAAAAAATACCCATAAAATACAGTAGTGCATAGCTATGGTTGCGTGCATATCACATGCCAAAGAGTCTGGAGGGACATTTCTGGGAAAGCTGTTTGCCATTTTGTGTACATCAGTTCCTTTCTCTTTTGCTTTTGTTCTGAACAGACCTGAAATGAGTGTTGAGTGTTAATCATAGAATCATAGAATGGTTTAGGTTGGAAAGGACCTTAAAGATCATCGAGTTCCAACCCTCCTGCCATGGGCAGGGACACCTACCACTAAACCAGGTTGCCCAAGGCCACGTCCAGCCTGGCCTTGAACACCTCCAGGGATGGGGCCTCAAAAACTTCTCTGGGCAACCTGTTCCAGTACCTCACCACCCTTAAAGTGGAAAATTTCTTCCTAATGTTTAATCTAAATCTGCCCTCTTCCAGTTTAAAGCCATTCCCCTTCGTCCGATCACTAATGCCCTAGTAAAAAGTCCTTCCCCAGCTCTCCTGTAGGCCCCCTTCAGGTACTGGAAGGCCACAGTAAGATCTCCCTGGAGCCTTCTCTTCTCCAGGCTGAACAGTCCCAGCTCTCTCAGCCTCTCCTCATAGGAGAGGTACTGGACCACCTCTCCTGTTAATAATGTTAACATACAGTTATACACAGCAGGCTAAGGAAAGCTTCAAGGCTTTTATGATCTCTCCTACACTTTTTGTAACTTTCAGCTTTATCAGTCAAGAAGGCTAGTTACAAAATATCTGAAAGTAGCTGCTTGTCAAGCTGGAAGCTAGTAATACTACAAAGTGGCAATTTAATTAAAAGAAAAAACAACAAACCAACAAACTATTCAAAATTACGTTGCAAGGACTGAACCAGGGGCAGCAGGGAATCAATTCCACTGCCTTTGGTCTAAAAACAATCATCAATTTTTGGCCCTGTTAAAAACAAAACAAACAAACAAAAAGTGAGTAAGAGCACCTGCAGGCTGTTCAAGAAGCAGGTTAATGCTGTCTTTATGCCAAACACAACAATACCAGGAGGAGATCCAAAACGTCCCAGCAAGAAGAGCACTAACTAACTTGAAGCAACTTGCATTTGTTCTGTTGCAGCTGAGTTCCCTCTCTGCACTTCACTCTCAGGTCCGGTGCTGAGCACCCAAAGAGTACACTGAGCCTGAAGCACCCAAAGGCTTCTGACTGATGGAGTCTACAGCAGAAACGCTCTGCTCCACCTTCACAGCTATCCACAGGCTCTGCGTCATGTAACTATTTCTTCAGCAGCAGATTCTCCCCGGGCTGCTGTGGTGGAAGTCGATAGCAGGAACGGAGGAAACACACGATGTTGCAGAGACATAAAAACATTCCACAAAATAGAAAGTGTAATCCAGACAGTCATGCTCCCAATATTCACAACAAATGGTTGTTACTACCATGCCCCCTCCCCGCTTACATTTTGTGAGCGCTAATACATATCAGCAGCTGCTATGAGGATTCCAATACCCTCTAATAAAAACTGCAAGACTCTTTGACTAGTGGATTTTTAAGACGGTCAACAGAATCAGGACTCTGCAGCCACAGCAGCGGTTTTCCCACAGCAGCTGAATTAGATTACTGACACCAAAGTAGCTCAGCAGACTTCACTGGCTCTCCACTGTTTTTTTTTTGTGTTGAGTTTTTGGGGGTTTTGATGCTATGAAGAGCAAGACTAGGGGTGCAAATCAGTAGGCTAATACCAAATACCCAAGCTAATTTTGCTTTAAACTACACTTGCAAGCTTTTAGATGCCACTGTATGAATACACAAATAAATCTTATAAGCTCCCTCCTCCTCATCTTCCACCATCCTTCCCTCCTCCCAAAACCTGCAGTGCCTGCTACAGATCCTGTTCCTAGATGTGACAGCCTAAAGAGCAGCAAGACTAAGGCGTTCTGTGGAGAAGATCTGGCAAAGCACAAACTGTTTGCTGTAATGCAGGTACTCCGTTGGGAGACAGTAGCTGATTTCTGCAGGTACCGAGGTTCAAGGTACTAACCTTTCTGGCAAATGTTCTTTTAAGGAATCATTAGATAAGCACTGATAGAGAAAATCAAGTCACCTTGAAGCAACCAGCTGTGCAGCACAGGGTCACTTTTAGACCGTTTCCTCAAAGGATTGAAGGCTGTCCTGCATGCTCCTTCTGCAGGCAGAGGGCTTGCGTTTGAAGGTGAAAGGCTCACTCTGCTGGAAGACTCAGGAATTTCTTCACCTGGGCAATTAGAAATAGTAAGGGTGAAGGAAAAGCAGTCAGAATAAAGCAGATCAGTAGAAGACATTATTAGAGATTATTACTGACATTTTTTTGTGCCGGTCCCCGCACACACCCCCCAGGCTGTAACGATTGGACACAAAAGCCAACAGGTGTATATACATGTGCATATGCCTATGCTCACCAGTAACACCGGTTTAAAGCCTATTTAAACATTTGCAGAAACCCATTCAGCTTTATACAACCAGACTAGCAAAAAGAAAAAATAAAAAAAAAATACAGCTTTGCCTAGTATAAACCTCACCTTAAACTACCTGATCAGAGAGAAGGGAGCTACAGCATTCTTGGAGAGAAAACTAAATCTCACAGAGCCTGAAGTCCTCCCGCATATAAGCAGTTAGTTGTACCAAGATATGACAGCATATGGTCACAGAGGTCAGTCACTGTTTGCAATTACGTAGCTCGTAGATCAGTCGCTAGGCCCCACGAGGGAATTAAAAAGCTTGTTTCATCAGGTTCTTTATTTTAATAAAGATTTTCCTGGATGCTTGTAATGTTTCATCTTTCCAGTTAATCAACATTCCTCCTTTTCCTTGCGGTGAAATTATAGGTCATGATTGCCACAGCTGTCTTTTAGTTAACAGGACAGCATGAAGCTATGTATTTCTCACCAAGCTGGATTCTGTACCTCCATCTGATGGCACCTGGCATATTACAGGAAGCAATGTCCTTGTTTATGCAAGAGCAAAACCACCAAACTAACATCAACAGTCTCTTAATTCAGAACACAGCAAATGTTCGTGCTGCTACTCTAATAGAAATGTGCCAGCGACTGGAGCATTCAAGAAAATTGAGGCTTGGATGAAAATGTACTTGTTGAACACAGCACCTTATCTCCTACACAAACACAACTTAGAATCTCCAAAGAGAAGAAACAGTGGCACAACCTATATAAACCAGACACCAGCCCGGCAAGTCAGGAGGTATGACTCGGCAACAAAGCATGATGGACCAAGGATCAGGCAGAATTAAAGAATCCATCACCAATATAAACTTTTTAAAATCAGTGGTACTCTGGAGAAGTTACTACTAAACAGGTGAATGAGCTAATTTAATGATCTTACGATAATTCTTCATAATATTAATGTTTCAGATGTCAGAGAGATAACTGGCTTAAGCTGGTGTGTACTGGAAATGCATATACCTAGTATGTGATGATACAGAGCAGCTGCCAAGCATCCCCAGCCATCAGTAGAAGGTTCCATGTCTTCCTACTACAGTTGGCAGGGAAAGCCCCATTTTGCTTGACTGGAGTGCTTTTGAAGTCAGTAAAACCATTTTGTAGTCTAGAGAAAAGACGACTGAGGGGGGATCTTATCAATGCTTATAAATACTTAAAGGGAGGGTGCCAGGTAGAGGGAAACAGTCTTTTTTCAGTGGTGCCCAGTGATAGAACAAGAGGTAACAGGCACAAACTTGAGCATAGGAAGTTCCATCTAAACATGAGGAGGAACTTCTTTACTTTGAGGGTGGCAGAGCACTGGAACAGCCTGCCCAGAGAGGTGGTGGAAGCTCCATCCCTGGAGGTGTTCAAGGCCAGGCTGGAGGGGGCTTTGAGCAACCTGGTCTAGTGGGAGGTGTCCCTGCCTATGGCAGCGGGATTGGAACTAAATGATCTTCAAGGTCCTTTCCAACCTAAACCATTCTATGATTCTATGACTCTATGATACAACAAAGATTAGGCTGAAAACAACTTTGCAACCATTTCCATGGCTTTCTAAAACAATGCTGAGCAAAGCTTGGTGTGGCCTCCATATGTAGTCTAGCTATGTCCTATACCAGTATGCAGAAACCAGCAATTCTTCCAGTGCAGGCTGAATAATAGAGTAATTCCCACATTTAGCTCAGCATAGTACAGCATTATTTTATCCTTTTCCTATTTTCATCAGCAATAAAATGTCAACAGGCACCATCATGTATACAAAACAAATGGAAGCACTGGAGCTCGACATCACTTCTTACAACATATGGACACAGAGTCAACAACTAACTTGTAGACCACTAAGAAGCAAATACATCCCTCTTTTTATATCTTAAAAGCAAACAACTTTTTATGTATTTTAAACATTAATCCCTGTTCCTACTGTCCAAAACAATCATGATTCTGTATCTCTGGCTTGCAATATGGTGGCTGTCGCTCAAAGAAATAATAATGCTGCTGCTACATTAAGTCATCTGGGTAGGGTAGAACCATTCTAGAACAAATCAAAATGTGCTTTTTACCTGGAGATGCCTGCCTGTCACTCACTTCCCCTGAATCAACAACTTCCACAACATTTCTTTGTAGTGGATCTTCCTGGAATAAAATAGAAAAGTTGAAAAATCACAAGCCACCATCTTTTTTTCTGCTACTTTCTAAAAACTGCAACATCCACCTTAGAAAGTGAATGCTTTTTCTTAACTGCACAGTGATGGTGGTTTGGGCTGGGCTGGCCACTAAAACAAACAACAGATGCTCTCTTTAACCTCTATCTCTTCCCAGAGAAGGAAGAGAGAATAAGAAAGAGACTTACGGGTTGAAAAGAAACTAAACTACTTTTATGAAGTATTAGTAATAAAAAGAAAAGATAATAATATCAATAAGAAAGTAATGAAATATATACAATATATACAAAACCAATATCGAGCTCCCAGGATGACGAAGATCATATCACCAGCAGGCACTGGGAAAGTCCCAGATGGGAACTGGATTCTGGATCTGGATTCAGGAACACAGATTGGGATCAAAGGCAGATGAACAGACAGAGTCCTCCTCAGATGACAGCCATTGAGTAAAGCGGCTGACCACCTTGTTCCCTCAGCTTTATACTAAGCGTGAGGCAGATGGGATGGAATACCCAGTGGGTCAGTTTTGGGTCACCTGTCCTGTCCGCTCCTCCCCGAAGGTGGGACCCCACTATGCTTTACCGCTTCTGACCCTTCAACTTTGTGCATAACAAAGTTATCTGCCCTTGGGTGTTATGGCAATAAGTATAAGCAGTAGCCTCCCTGCACATCATTCTTTGATATTAACTATAAACATTAGGTCTTATCACTCTGGTAATAAACACTGTCTGAAAAATATGCCATTAATTTCAGAGAGTGCAGTTCAGTTACAAGAGGCTTAACTGAAAAGTAAAATTACTGAAAAGAATATCAGTTCTATTCTGTCCTAAACCAGGACAAGTGACTATGTGATACGTGTTTAATTCCACTGCAAAGCCAAGACCTGTGAATATCTAAAATTGACTTTCACCACCCAGGTCAGCCAATTTTATCCTGCTAAGTATTTTCTTGAAAAAAGTACCTGTCATCTGAAAACACCAGTGAAAAGGAATCAGTGAGCATGGCAAACTCCTGATTAGTCCCACATGGGAGGAGTACAGGTGCAGAAGGAAAGTAAAGCAAAAAGGCAGTGTGGGGGTCCTCTGGAATAAACACAGTGTATTTTGCTCATTCTCCCATGCTTACAGTAAGACACATTTGTAACCAAACATATTGTCCTGCTATTCTGAAATGAAAATATACCTGATATATGTTTACCATGCCTCAGTACAATCTTACTTTTACAGTGGAAAAACACATTGCACTTTAAACTCCTGTGGGCCATACCTGCTCAGAACTATTCGGGTTCCACACAGTTTCGTAAGGAGGTGGTGGGTACAGAGGGCAGAAAACTTCAGCATCTGTTATTTGCACCCTGTAAACACAGGGAAATGGAATCACATCAGAGCCAAGCATCCTGCAACAAACACAAACGTGCAACTCTGTCAGTATGGCTTTCCAGCTGCAGAAAAACGTTATCAGCTACCAAACTCCAGTGGCTTTCCCGTGCCAGATTTTGGGATCTCAGTCATAGCTAATGAACTCGTCAAGAGCAACTGCTCCTTACCAGGTGCCTCTCCAGTGTGTTCACCAGAGCTTCAAACATCTTTTGGCAGTACTGTGCCTAGGAACCCATTTCAGTTTTACTTCATAGAGATTCAGTTTTGTTTCAAGAGATTCAAATACAGGTGGTCATTCCAAATGCCTAGCTCTGATTTTTGTGAACTACTAAATTCTTAATTATAACTGAAATTTAATATACTTCTAATCTCATTTTTTATGTTCAGATACAGCTGCATAGAAAACGCTATTTTTGTGATGATGATTGGCTGAGAATACTATCGTTGATCAATTCATGAAGGTTTGTATGAGGTAAATGTATCTCATGGTTAGCCTTAATTCTCAGTTTTCAGAGAGCTCTGAAACCTTAAATACAGCAGAAATCCCAAAGACCTTTTGCTGTATCATCTTCCTTTTAGGAGGTAGCTCTGAGAGGGAAGAAATCAGAACAGTGCCTGGAGAAATTCTTTTTGGCAAATGCTGATTTTGGTAACATAAGTATATGTTACCCCATTAACACCGGGACAAAGTGTGGTGGTTGACAGTGGAGCTGCCAAGGGGGTCTTCCAAGAAGTTTGTGACCCAAAGCGTCTCAATTTTTCTCTGCTTTTTATTACATTTGAAATTGCTCGTTTGGTACTGAGCAGGAACCTCAAGCAATACACAGAAGTCCATGTGTTTTGCTCTCAGGACCCACGTCAGGCTTACAGCTATCACTAGTGGACGTGATCTCTATACGAAGAAACATTACACAAGAGCAAGTCCTTCCTCCCAGAGTTTAAGGATTCTCTGGACACTGGCTGGAGGGAACAAAGATGACTGTGAAAATTATTTTCTTGCAAGCTGAGAGGAAAGGGCAGAGTGAAGGGGAATGCCTATGGAATGCTGCTTACAGGGGAACAGAATAAAACTTCCAAAAAGAGAACAGGGGAGCACTTTTGTGAAAGGCTTCTGTCAAGATAATGGAGGTAATGCATGGAGAAATTTGAGGAAAAGCAAGAACAGATTTTGATAACTGGACATTGCTGTTTCAATCTTAGAAATGAGGGAAATATCACACATTAAAAGAGTTTTTAATTTTAACCTATTTCATCTGCCCCTGAAAGCTTCAGAATAATTTTGGAGTATGATGGAGACTGATACTCCACTCCCATTACTTCTTCACATTTTTTCAGCACGTTCGTGCTGAGCTTACATTCAATGTAGGCCACAAAACTGTGAACTTCTTGAATCTTAGTTTTGTTTTTAAAGATGTGTGGCCTACTCAGCTCAGTCACACCTTGAAAATTAGTGTTGCATCCAAAAATGACATCATGTTAAAACTTACTACAGAACATGCAGCTAGAAAAGCATTCCCTTAAGTCCCTTAACATAAGAGGCATTTCCAGGATGCGCACATTTGTCAATCTGTTCTTTATTTCTTAATTTCCATTCTGTCTTTTTATGTAAGCAAGGCGAATTTGTGTGTTAGACAAAAAGCCAGCAGCTTTTTGAAGTGATGATACATGAAGTTACGGAATAGGAGTCAAAGCTTTTTAGGGAACCCCACTGCCAAGAGACTGCTCCAGACCATGGGGAGGCTCTGCACTGCTGCTGCTAAGCAGGACACTGAAGGGGGAAGGTGCATCCTCAGCCACCTCTCACCCACCTTCCGCACCCACTCCTCAGCTGAATAGCAGCATCAGGGCTTTGGCCTCCCAGAAATTTTAGTGTTTCAATAGCAGGAACGCATTCAGTCGTTAAGAAACAACTGGCAGCAGCACACGGGTCCAATTTGAGACACATACTGAATTTGAGAATACACGACCTGGATAAGCAGATTCACATTTTGGCAAATGCCTCTAGTCCCCAAATGGTACTTTAAACTGGACTCGGGTAGACTTCCTAGACCCCAGGCGATTAGTTTGCTGCCCCACATGGATCATGTCTTCCCTTAAATTCACATGCCTTATAACACTTTGCATTTTATTCTTCATGTGGAAACTCAGCTGTAACTGTTAATGTTGTTGTGCCAATCCTGAAAAACAACTTAATTGCTATTTCCTTATTTATGATTAGAGCTAGGAGTTGACCAGACATTTGTAATGCTAGTTTGTTTTGTCTGCCACTAAATAAGACAAATGTAAATGTTTTCCCACTAACAAATGAACAAATGAATTAATTGGCTTTGCTAGCAGTGCCTCTGGCTTCGCAATTTAAAGGGTTGAGGAGAAGAGCTACCCGTTCCAAACATGTCCTTGGCACATGTTTTGATCACCGCAGTGTTGACTTTCTCAAAGGGATGTATCTGTTTTGGAGTTGCCCCAGGTGCAGCTTGCAGATAGTGGCTCACCGCCCTGGCTGCAATTCCCGTCACCCCCCTTTCGCACAGAGGCTTTGGACGCAGGGCGCGTGGGAGCCCGGCGCTGAACGTCAGCTCACGGGGACAGCCTGGCGCTCAGGGTACGGACCAGGCAGGGAGGGGAGGGAGAAGTGCAAGAACGGTGACTGAGAAAAGGCCAGGTCCCATCTCAGCCGCTCTGCTGGACGCCCTGGATCCAGCCTGGGGTGAGTCATACCTCCTCATCTGCCAAGAACGGAAATTAAGTCTGTCTGTTGCCTTAACTTCTGCACTGCTGCATAACTACCCTCAGCGCCTTGAAACAAGTAGCCTGACTTCAGAAAGATGTCACCATCACTTAAATGGCATTATCAACGAGTTTTAACACAGTCACAGGCAAAGTAGCTACCCAATATTGGGCCACAGAAGCCTTAAACAGTGTTCAGTGGCCCCTGCCGTGCTGAAAATAGACAGAGAGAAATACTGCTGCTGGGAAAGAGATAACCACCTAGAATGACACGCCAGACAAAGAACAACCACCCCATTTTAAAACAGGGGAACTGTGACAAGCATATTTCAATAAATACTTAATCTTCCAAAGAGATCATTATGCACACCATTCTGTTCTCACAACTAGCTTGAGCCAAGACTCACACAGGAGGTTTTTAGGAATGTTTGGAATTCAACCCCAGTCTTCGGTGTTTTAGATGACTTTTTAATTCTAAAATCTATTCTTGTGCCATGTTACCATTTTGTAGGTAATCCCAGGATCTGTAATCACCCCTGCAAGGACCACAGAGTCTTGAAAGTCACATGTGCTATTCCTCGTGAAACAGTGAAATAAACTAAACAGTTCTGCACACTGCAAAAAGCAGGAGTTTTAAACAAGGGTAGAGTGATACAGTCTACCTCACATTTTATGTATAAACGTGGTGTGTTCACAGCATAATAATGCAGCCTCACCTGAGTCATAAATGAATGAACAAAGCTAGGCTGCAAGCTACTGTGAAGAATGTGTAACTACCTGTGGAATGAACGGTAACAAAGCCCACAAGTCACCACCGAATTGCAAGAAATACAGACACTAGTAAGTCCCAGTATAGCAAAATAACAAATTTGATGCTTGATGGACAAGCTATGTGATTTTTAGCCCTATTCTTCTTCAAAACAACACAGAAAAAAAACCCCACACCAAATTTACATTTTAATGTTTCATGAGATTAATTATACCAAAGACAATGGCCTTCTGCAACATAAGAGTTTTCTGCACGTTCTCTCTTACTCACAAGAAAATTCACACAGCTATTATTTTATCCTCCTCCAAATCCTTCTTCCCTCATCTTTGTAGGAATTAATTAAAAAAAAAAAAAGGGGGAGGGGCAGGGGAAGAGATTACAGCGACTTATGACTATCCTCCTCTTTCTGATACGTGAACTCCTCCTCCCACGTTCACTCTCCCCTCTCCTCCATCCCGCAGCTGCCGCTATGGAGAAGCCCAGCAATGACCCTGGGTGCCAACTCTGCCTGACCACTAACACCC